TTAGGGTTTAGGGTTTAGGCTCTGGTTCCCCGAAACAACACCATCAAGAGCATCGCCCATCACGAGATGACAATCACAGCTTACACCCCACGGCCCTAAACACAAAACCCCACAACCCACAACCCTAAACCCTAAACCCCACAACTCCGGTCGGCAAAGAGGCAAACAAGCAAAGGCACGGCATGCCTGGAACTTTTTGCCCCAAGCCTCTAAACCTGGATCGAGGCTTCGTTAATCAAGAAGGGTTTAGGGTTTAGGGTTTAGGGTCCAGGGGGGTTTAGGGGTAATTATAGCAGACTCGTGTTTCAAGTGCGGGCTCTGTCTCCACAGGGTTCTGTAAAGTTGCCGGATTTTGGCTCAGGTGGTTGGTTCTGTTTCATGTGGATATTGCAGCATTGGCGCTGCTTTCCGTCTGTGGGTAGTTCCTTGAATTAGGATCCCTTCCTAGGTCTCCAAGATAGTACGGCATCCTTGTGAAAAGGACCCCAAAACGACCCTAACAGAACTCCACTCTGCGCAGCATGAAGCTGAGTCCTGCTCACTTTTGGCCTGAACAGTTCGTGTACATGTTAGGGGTTAAGGGTTAGGGTTTGGGTTCAGGGTTTCCAAGAATATGCAATGTAAAGGACAAGAAGGCGCAGACAGGTGAGAGCATGCAGGTTCAGTTCAAGATAACTTCATGATATGTAGTCAATGTGATCAATAGGAGTCAATAGATCACCCACACGGTTGACATGGGAGCATCTGAGCATGTGCGATGCTAACCTAAGCACTTGGTAGTAGGATATGTCAGGTAGAGGCTGTTTACAATCTATATGTGCGTGTATCTATACATATATATATATATACCATCGAAACGAACCCTACACCACTACGTACGGCAGCACACGGGCAGTTCTGTACATCAAAGCCCGTTTTGACTCAGGCCCTTGTTAGAGCCAGCACGAGCTCTGCTTGAGAGAACTATCCGCTTGAAATATCACGGGGCCTAAACCTGAAACCCTTTTTCACATCAGGCGCTGAACCTTAACCCCAAACCCTAAACCCCAAACCTGAAACCCTAAACCCTAAACTTGCCCAACAGGTTGCAATCAGGATGGGGGCTGGGAGAGAATTCAATACCCGACCTAGGACCCCTCTGGAATATAGAACCCTCCTGCATCTAAAGCACAAGCCACAAACCCGCCCTAAACCCGCGCACTCTAGCCCTCATAAGCCCGTCCGTCTACGATCTTTCTTGAACCCCACCGCACCCTTGCAAGACCACTACAAAATCACATTTGAAGCCACCATCAAAGTCCTATAGAACCTTACGAAACACAACACTTCGAAATTCTAAAGCCGTTGGAGCAGCACTCCTTGTTTACCGGACTTTGGTTTTGGGGGAACAAACACCATAAAAACGGACTGCTTGAACCGCAAACCCCAAAACCCTGCAAAACCTTTTACTGACCTCAATCCCTACCAAAACCTCCTCCCCGTTTGCAGAACCCCCTCAACCCTTTCTTTACCCTTCAAGGACCCTTTCGAGGAACCCTAAACCCTACAACTGACAAGGCTCCTTTTCAAGAACCCCCAAATCGTACGCCCTTAACCTTTATTACCTTAAACCCTTAAACGTCCCTTTCAAGAATCCTTTCAGGGATCCTGTAAGGGTGCCTTTGAGAGCTGCTTTGAGGGCTCCTTTCGGGGCCCCTTTAAGGGTTCCTTGAAGGGCTCCTTAGACCTCCTTTAAGGGCTCCCTTAAGGGCTCCCTTAAGGGCTCCTTTCGGGGCTCCGTTAAAGTACTAGGCTCCCGGCATACTGGCGGATCACAGAAACCGATGGTCCACTGCGTGTAGCGGCCGGGATACTCGTAGGAGGAGGAAAGCAGACCTGATGCTTCTTGGGTTTAGGTTCCAAGTTTTGGGTGTTTAACGTTTAGGCTTCGATTAGAGGTTTAGGCTTTGGTGGTGTTGTTTTCGGTGGGTTTTGCATAATTAAGGGCAAACGGGGCTTTATAGGGTTTAGCACGACTCGCAAGTAGCATGTGTAAAGTAAATATCTTCTATACTTTGCTGTATGTGTTTCAGTGCATCTAAATCCTTTCATAGTTTTCTATAAGGGTTTCTCTACGGTTTTGTAGGGGTTGTAAATTTTATAAAAACAACTTTGTGTAAGCAGTTTCGGTGGTTTTTGGGTTTTAGAGGTCTAGGATTTGGGACTTTCGGCTTCCCTAACCCCTTTTGCAGCAGGCTTCTCTCGCGTCGCCGCGAAGCAGTGAAACACTAAACCCTCTCTCCCTAATGGTAATTTAAACCCTATTGATGTTCGTGGGCAGGAGTCGCTGTTTCATGGGCGAGGGTCGTTTTTTTGTGGGCAAGGGTCGGGGTCGCTATTTTTCGTGTGCAAAGATGTTTTGTCGTGGGCAAGGGTCGTTTTTTCGTAGGCAAGGTTCGTGGGCAAGGCTTGTGTTTTCTTGAGGCAAGCATCGTTTTTTCGTGCGCGCGCAAGGTTCGTGGGCAAGGGTCGTTTTTCCCTGGGCATGGATCGTTTTTTCGTAGGCAAGGCTTGTTCTTTCGTGGGCACGGGTCGTTTTTCGTGGGAAAGGATCGGGCAAGGATCGTTTTTTGGTGGGCAAGCGTCGGGGTCGTGGTTTCGTGGGCAAAGCTCGTCTTTTCGTTAGCAGAGTCCGTGGGCCAAGGTTCGTTTCTTCGTGGGCAAGGTCCGAACCCTAAAATAGTAGTCCGAACCCTAAAGTAGTAGTCC